TTTTGTTGCCATACTCCTTGTTATTATAATTCAAGGACATCACTAGGATGATGTCCACACTTGGTTGGTACAAAGCACTTCCCAATGGGAAGTGACTGTTGCACTGTTCTGCACTGTAGTGTGCATAGTTGCAGGCAGTCACTTTCCAGCTGTAGAGTTGACTTTGTACTTCTGTCAGAGAAACACTAGAGGATCAGGTCCCTGAATTGGTTCTTGTGTATCCAAAGTCACACAACTCATACTAGCTTAAGTCCATTGCTGAAGAATTGTACCAAGTATGCATAAGGTCCTTTATCTGTTTCTAGACAAGAAGTTTGTTAGATTATCAAAACATAAGATGGTGAAACCTTAAGCCCATCAATTTCCCCCCTTTTGATGATGACAAACTTTTGGAATTGACAACCGTTTATAGAGCTTGAATTAACCAGATAAAGTACCAGGAACATCACATGTTCCCCATGACTCTATGCTTCCCCCTTAATCACCTGCTTCAGTTTTCAAGTTATCTCTAGATCTTCCCTTTTTTGGCATCACTAAAAGTACACAAGCAGGCAAAAAAGTATAAAGAAGTCTAACACAGCTAACTCATACCACATGTGTGCATACAACATGATAGAAAAGAAAAGCAGAAGAAAGACAAGCATTTCACTAGCAAAAAGATAGTTGTTTCATTGAAAATATTTTTAAAAATATAAGCCTTTGCAATTACAACAAAGTCTAGTTTGGACTGATTCAGGGGGGAGCAGCAACAGTGAGATCCAACATACCACCACAAAAAATCAAAAAAAAAAAGAAGAAACAACTGCCACAAACATCAAAGGCTTGCATAAATCACCATGTCGACCCAATTGACTAGCACGCAAATATGGACCCCCGCAATGGTGAAAAGGCTTGCATAAAAGCTTTGCACCTCATCTTCATAAACCTTAGGCACATCCCCCTTAAACAAATTACCCCATTGTTGAAACTCGACCATCTCCAAAACTTGTCTCATTCCTGCCATCTCCGAGATTTCTGGGTCAAACATATGACCCCACAAGACTTTCTGACTCCTCAATCTTTCTTGCCCAAGCCCACTTTCACTTGGTATCATCTTCTTAGAACTAGGTCCTCCAACAGTTTCCCACTTCCTTTTTCTAGATTTTGCCACATACTTCTCTTTTCACTCAAAGCAACCAAAGCATCACCCTCAGACATATTTTCCTCCTCCACAACCCTTTTAGACTGACCATCACTCTTTACAGAATTTCCACTCTATTTTTCCACAGCTTCCTTGGAAGCACCAGTTACAGATTTTTGTACTTTCTTAGACTGCTTCACCAAGGAACTAGGTTCCTCTACATCATCCTCATCAACTTCCACCACTGGAACATTTTTGGCATACACAACTTCCCCCGCTTTCATTAGTCTCTTCTTCTTTTTCTTGCTGCTCCTTCTAGTTTTCTGTAAAGCAGACTCAAAATCCTTCTTCTTCTGCAACCTAGTAGTTGGTCGCTTGGAAGAGGGCTCAGGAGTGACTACTGGCTTTCTTATTTTGAAACGAGCACTAAGAACCATGTCATCCTCGTCAAAAGGTACCGCAATAGGAGGAATGGACTCCAACGGCTTAGTATAGAAGATGGGCTCCTGACCTGTTTCCTCAGGAAGGGAATCATGTTCTCCAACAGGTTTTTTTGTGGTCTTTCATGAACAGGAGATTCTAAAAGTACCATGGTTCCTTCATCCCCTAAAAATAGAGTTTTTTCTCCCTGAGACTCAGGCAGAAGAGAGGGTCCTTCACTTGTAAAGCTTTCAGCAGCGATAGCCATTATTTTCTACGGCCTCTTTTTCCGGTGACTCCATGGGAGCCATTGAGTCCAAGACGGAGGAGTTCAAGTACTGATCACGATCTTCCTCAGAGACTCCTGACTCTTGAGGGGTAGCACCTTCCAATTCCCCCTTGTTTTGATTAGAAGGAGGAGGAGAAACATGGTTAACGTCTGGGACGTCAGAAGTTTCAGCACTTGGGAGCGAAACAATGTTGGACGGAGGTGTAAGAGAGACAGGAGATGAAGAAGAAATAGGTGTAGATACATTGGTATCAAGGGTAGTAGAGGAAAGTGTTTCTAGTGGTGATGCTAAGGGAGTCGGAGATGTGGTAATAGTGTCATTTACAAGAGTGAGGGAAGGTTGTTCATCGGCCATGGTGAAGAAGGGTTTGAGAGTTCTGAGAGAAGGGAGAGATACAATGAGAAGTGATTGTTCAGAATTCAAGAAGTGAGCGGGTTTTATGGAAGGAGGAGCTAAAAAAGAGAGGGGAGAGGAACGGGTTCTAAAGGGTTATGAAACAACGGTAGGTTTGTAGGAATACGTAACATGCAGTAAAGGTGAAAGGATTTGGGAGATGAGACATGATATACAGGTTCTGAAAAGTCGAATGATGTGGCAGTTGAATTAATTTTGTTGTCCTTTGAGATATGTATGAGAAAAACACATTACTACTAACCTGTGTTGTAGGAACCGGGTTCCTGACCAGTTTTTGTCAAAAGATTTTTGCAACTCTCTTTCAGCTTCTATGATCATCATGCGTGTCTACGTGTAACGGTATAGATGTGAGTTAGGCTTGGTCAGAAAACACTTTAGCTAATTTTACTTGAATATGACTTTCATAGACATAGGAAAAGAATCAGGTTCTCAATTAGGTTTGATTAACCCCAGTGCCATCCTATTTCTCTTAAAGTATTCCCTGCTTAAAGCTTTGATGAATATATCTGCAATTTGATCTTCTGGGCAGCAGAACCTCATATAGATAAGCCCCTTTTCCACATTGTCTCTGAGAAAATGATGCCTGACGTCAATGTGCTTGGTTCTCTTGTGCTGAACCGGGTTCTTTGCTATATTGAGAGCACTGGTGTTCTCACATGGAAGCGGTACACAGTCAGTGCATACTCCAAAGTCCTCCAATTGTTGTTTAATCCACAGTAGCTGAGCACAAGACGAAGCTGCAACAACATATTATGCTTCAGCTATTGAGAGAGCTACTGAGTTTTGCTTCCTTGTACCATATGAGATCAGACATGATCCTAGGAAATGAGCCATTCCATATGTGCTTTTCCTATCCACCATATAACCTGCATAGTTAGCATCAGCATAACTAATAAGATTGAAATTGTCACCTGAAGAGTAATACAGAACCAGGTCCTGTGTGCCCTTAAGATATCTCAGAATTCGCTTGGCAGCCTTCAGGTGAGATTTCTTAGTATTTGATTGGAACCTTGCACATAGGCCCACATTGAACATAATGTCTGGCCTGCTGGCAGTAAGGTAGAGCAGTGATCCAATGATTCCTCGAACATTGTTTGGTTAACAGGTGATCCATATTCATCCATATCCAGCTTAGTGGAAGTAGCAATGGGAGTATTAATCACCTTTGATGCTTCCATATCAAACCTCTTTAGAAGTTCCTTGATGTATTTCTGCTGACGGATGCATGTTCCCTTTGTGGACTGTTTTACTTGAAGGCGCAAGAAGAAGTTTAGCTCCCCCATCATACTCATTTCAAACTCACTTCCCATGAGTTTAGCAAATTCTTCACACAGTGAATCTACGTTACTCCAAATATGATATCATCAACATATACCTGAACGATGAGCAGGTTCCTTCCCCGTTTCTTCAAAAACAAGAGCAATGTCAATTTTTCCTCTTGTGAATCCATTTTCCAAGAGAAACTTGGATAGCCTTTCATACCAAGCTCGAGGGGCCTGCTTCAATCTGTAGAGTGCCTTATCCAATTTGAATACGTACTTAGGATGTTCATCACATTCAAAGACTGGAGGTTGCTTGACATAAACCTCTTCCTTAAGAAAACCATTCAAAAAGGCACTCTTCACATCTATTTGGAACAAGGTGAATTCCATATGGGATGCAAAGGCAATGAGAATCCTAATGGCTTCCATGCGAGCAACTGGGGCAAAGGTCTCATCATAATCGATCCCTTCCTCCTGAATGTAGCCTTGGACAACAAGCCTTGCTTTGTTCCTTGTAGTGTTTCCACGTTCATCCAGCTTATTTCTGAATACCCACCTGGTCCCTATGATGGTTCTATTTGAGGGTCTAGGTACCAGGTGCCACACCTTGTTTCTTTCAAATTGATGCAACTCCTCTTGCATAGCCGTGATCCAGTCTGCATCCTTCAAGGCTTCTTTGATATTTTTGGGTTCTATTTGGGATAGAAAGGCTGAGAAGGCTGGGGAATTTCTGGTTTTTAATCTTGTCTGTACTCATGAATCATGGGGGTGATTTATCAAGTGGATGGGAGATTTTATGTTTCTAATTTGGGACTGGAGTCTGATTGGTAGAAGAACTAGGTAAATCAGAATGGTTTCGCTGCACTCCTCGTTTTGCTACATGTGGAGTGCTTTGAACTGCATCTACAACTCTTTCTTCAGCTTCAGTGGTAGTGATTGGGTACCAGGTCCCTCTTGAGAAGTGGAAGAGAAGGTTGCATTGTCTTCACTTGCTTCCTTCATGTGGCTCATTATATCCTCTTTTCCATTTGAAACATCAGTGATCTCCCCAGGAACCAATAATGGTTCATTGTCTTGATCGTCCCTGTTTCCTTCCTTGCCAGATGGAGGTGTCTCATTGATTATCACATGAACACTTTCTTCCATGCACTGTATCCTCTTATTGTAGACTTTATAAGCTTTGTTTTGGGAGGAGTATCCCAGAAAGATTCCTTCATCACTTTTTGCATCGAACTTCCCAAGCTGATCCTTTCCGTTGTTGAGGACATAACATTTGCATCCAAAGGTTCTCAAATGAGTTAACTTTGGCCTTCTACCATTGAGTAACTCATAGGGGGTTTTGTTCAAGAGAGATATGATCATGCACCTGTTCACCAAGTAGCATGCAATGTTTATTGCCTCTGCCCAGAAATTTTTGGCAATTCCACTGTCAATAAGCATTGTTCGTGCCATGTCTTCGAGAGTTCTGTTCTTTCTTTCAACAACTCCATTTTTCTATAAAGTCCTTGGAGTTGAGAAGTTGTGAGTAATCCCATTTTCACTACAAAACTCATCAAACTTGGCATTGTCGAATTCTATTCCATGGTCAGATCTGATGCACGCTACCTTCGGTTCCATCTTCACTTGGATTTTCTTAACAAAGGCCACAAATATTTTAAATGTCTCATCTTTTGTTCTAAGAAACAGTGTCCAAGTGAACCTTGAATAGTCATCTACAATCACAAAGATATATTTCTTTCCACCCCTGCTTGGTACTCTCATAGGACTACAAAGATCCATATGAAGGAGTTCGAGTGGCTTTGATGTGCTGACATCCTTCTTTGGCTTAAAGGATGATTTCACATGTTTTCCTCTAGGACATGCATCACACACTCTGTGCTCCTTGAACTTTGAATTTGGCAGACCACGAACCAGGTTCTTCTGTATCAGCTTATTCAAAAGGGAAAAGCTTGAATGTCCCAATCTTCTATGCCACAATTCTGCATCATCATCAACTACCTTCAGGCATCTCATATCATCAGCTTGTAGAGACTCAAAATCAGCAACATAGATATTTTTGTATCTTTTGGCTATTAGAATCACTTCACCAGTTACTAAATTAGTAACTGTGCACACCTTAGACAAGAACTCTACTTTGTTCCGTTTATCACATATTTGAGAGACACTCAAGAGACTATACTTCAAACTATCCACATAGTACACGTTCTCAATTGAGTGTGAAAGAGACTTTCCAACCTTTCCGATACCGAGAATGTATCCCTTTTTTCCATTTTCAAAGGATACATTCCCTCCTTGCAGGGCTTTCAGTGAGAGAAAATCTATGGTGTTTCCAATCATGTGCTTCGAGCATCCACTGTCCATGATCCACTGTAGGCTGCTTCCTCTCACTGTTCCCTGCACAAATAAATCAAGGTTTAGATTTAGGAACCCAAACCAGTTTAGGTCCCTTGTAATGAGAAAAAGGGTGAATAAGAGCTTTTCTAGTTCAAGCAGGTAAAATACGTTTTTTGCGCGTGGCACCTGGTCCCTTCTTAGTAATCACTTTTTCAGCATAAACTTTGTTTTTCTGAACAAATTGAACTCTAGCCTGGCAATTTTCCTTGAAGTGCCCGTTGTTCCCACAGTGGGTAAAAAGCCAGTTATCAGGTATAGTGACGTACTTGCTGTGAGGGTTGTAAGAAATTTTCTCTCTTTAGAACCCTATTCCCTTCCTGTTTCCACCATTATTGAAGTACATGGCAGTAACAGCATTTGAGGACCAGGTCCACTTGAGAGATTTCTCAAGATCAGTTTTTACTTTCTCTAATTCTGCTTGAAGTTGCCTATTTTTCTCAAGCTCACCACATAGACTAGTTTTCACTTCATTTAATTCTTTTTCAAGTTTGATGTGTGCCTCACTAACTACTTCCTTCCCTTTCTCAATGCTTACAGGCATATGTTCTGATTTAATTCCCTCAATTGTTTCCTCTAGGTTTGCGATTACCACCAAAAAATCATCCCTCTCTTGCTCAGTAGCTGCAACTTTTTCTGCGAGAGTATTCTTTTCTTTGCTAAGGTTTTCTATGGTTTCTTTCAAGTCAACAACCACTACCATCAGATTATCTCTCTCATTTTCTATACTATTGATCTTTCCAGTTAGAGCTTCTTTTTCCTTTTCAAGATTATCTATGGTTTCCTTTAAATCGACCACACAGACTACCAAGTCATCCCTAGTCTGTTCAGCATCTCCTAACTTTATGGTCCATGCATCCTTATCATTAACAAGACTATGATATGCATCAATGAGAACATTAGCTAATGACATCAGTTTCTTAGGAGAATAGGATTTTAGATTCCTCTGAACTTCCCTGAAATTTACCTCATCATTGTCATCATCTTCATCATCATCAGACTGAGCCATCAATGCAAACAGTGAGTCATATTTCTTTGCTCCAATTTCCACTGCCATCATGGAGTTGTCTCTTGCATCAGTTTCTTCTTCTGATTCACTGGACGAGTCTCCCCATGCAGCAAGAGCTTGCTTTATAATATTGTCAGCTGCACTTTTTCGTTTGAAGCGTTTGTCAGGAACCGGGCTCCTTTTGCTGCTTTCTCAGAGTTGTGCTTGTAGTGCTCCTGCTTCAGAAGTGGGCAGTCTTTGATGAAGTGTCCTGGCTTTCCTCACTTGTGACAGAGATCATAGTTCTTTGGCTTACTAGAGCTGCCTCTCTTTGGTATTCCACCATTTCTTCGAACCATTTTTTGAAACCTTTTTGGTGAGATAGGCCATATCACTATCTTCCTCACTTGAGTCATTGTTTTCAGCCTTGAGTACCAGGTTCTTCTCTTTCTTTAGTTCTCTTCTTTCACTATCTTTCTTTCTCTTCATCTCGTATGTCTTCAGATTCCCAACCAGCTCATCCATGGTTAAAGTTTGCAGGTCTTTGGCTTTAGTAATAGCGTTCACCTTACTCTCCCATGAGCTGGGTAAGACACTAAGAACCTTCCTTACAAGCTTATTTCTAGGAATAATTTCTCCAAGTGAATGCAGCTCATTTATGATAGAAGTGAATCTTGTGTGCATGTCGTGCATTGATTCGTCATCCTTCATCCTGAAAAGCTCAAACGCAGTGGTGAGCATGTCGATCTCGGACTGTTTAACCTGAGTAGTTCCTTCATGTGCCATTTGCAATGCTTCCCATATCTCCTTGGCAGTTTGACAAGCTGAGATTCTATTGTATTCATCAGGTCCTATACCACACACCAAGATCTTTTTAGCACGAAAGTTCTTTTTAACAGCTTTTCTGTCGACATCACTGTATTCCTTTCTGGTTTTCGGCACCATCACTCCTGGTTATCCTACCTTCTTCATCGGAACATATGGACCATCACAGATGACGTCCCATAGCTTGGAGTCTTCCACCATTATAAAGTCATGCATACGAGTTTTCCACCAGTCGTAGTACTGACCATTGAATATAGGAGGCTTGTAGGTTGATTGTCCTTCCTCGAAGCTTGGTGGAGCAGCCATGGAGATCCTTTCTAGGTGTTAGCCTTTTAGAAAGAACCTGCTCTTATAACAATTGATAGTTTATATGAGTCCGCAAAACTGTATAGAGACCTGGTCCTATATCAGTTCCCACAGTACTAACTAATAAATCAGTGAGTAAATAAGGCACAGGATTTTTACGTGAAAAAATCCCTACTCAAGGGGACAAAAATCACGACCTACTCAGGTAGGATTTCAACTTTACTAACTTGCAATACACTTGTTATAAGCCACTTTGTAATGACTCTACTACAAAGGCTTCAACCTCACTAACTTGTAATACACCTACTACAAGCCACGTTGTAGTGACTCTATTATAAAGACTTCAACCTATGACTAACTCTAATCACAACACAAACTCAGCGGATTTATGTTTTTGAGTTTCCTAAAACAGAGCTTCTAAGTAAGCAAGATAAGAATTACAATGAAGAACTAATACAAGATTACATCTCAACTAAGGACATACATAAACTCATAATGGAACTGGTCCGTAATGGAGTTGCACTTTATTCTTGACACACTTGTGACTTCAATGCTAGATGAGATCTTCAATGCTTGAGAGAATATCACTAAATGTTCAAGTGAATATTTTTGTTGCCATACTCCTTGTTATTATACTTCAATGACATCTCTAGGATGATGTCCACACTTGGTCGGTACAAGGCCCTTCCCAATGGAAAGTGACTGCTGCACTGTTTCTGCACTGTAGCGTGCACAGTTGCAGGCAACCACTTTCCAGCTGTAGAGTTGACTTTGTACTTCTGTCAGAGAAACACCATAGGATCAGGTCCCTGAATTGATTCTTGTGTATCCAAAGTCACACAGCTCATACTAGCTTAAGTCCATTGCTGAAGAATTGTACCAAGTATTCTAGGTCCTTTATCTGGTTCTAGACAAGAAGCTTGTTAGATCATCAAAACATAAGACGGTGAAACCTTAAACCCATCAAGTTGTACATATTAGTCTTTTTAAATTTGGTAGATTTAACAATCTTCCATCTATTTACAGTTCTAAATATCTTGAATCTAGTAAAAAAACAAACAATTTTTTTGATGATGATGTTCGCTGATACATAAAAAAAGTGAATATTCTTCTCCATAATAGTTCTAACAAAATAAAATTTTTAGGCATTGTTTCAACCTACTTTTAGTATTGAATGTAGAGAAAAACTAGTATATATATCGTAATGTTATGATTCTTGAAAGCTGGGTATGACATTGTGTTAATTGTATTTTTGGTTATTTTTGGATGAATAAAAATCTTAATATATTGCATGAGTTTCATTAATGCGACGTATTTGCTCATAAACAACTAGCTCAATCTTCCATTGGACTTGTCATCTAAAGTTTAAGATAATAATCAAACTCATTGAATCACAATGTACGTAAATTACATATAATATGTCAGTATTAATAGAGGTGATTTTAGAATTTAAAGTTAATTGGTTCGAGTTTGAAGTTCTTAACGTTAAATTCATTATACTTTTAAAATTATGAAGTCACAATTAATATTATCTAAATAAATAATAGTTTTTCATGTATATTAAGGATCTTGTACAGTGTCCTTAACTTTAGGACATCATGTCCTTAACTTCATATGTACAGTGTAAATGTTATAGACATGACGTCCTTAACTTCATGTTAGCAGTGTAAATGTTAATGACATAATGTCCTTAACTTGTATTTGTACCTTCTGTTGTTAAACTTTAGGACCTCACGTCCTTAACTTTATATGTACAGTGTAAATGTTAAGGACGTGACGTCCTTAACTTCATGTGTGCAATGTAAATGTTAAGGACATAGTGCCCTTAACTTTATGAGTATTGGTAAATATTAAGGACATAATGTCCTTAACTTGTATTTGTACCTTCTGTTGTTAAACTTTAGGACATCATGTTCTTAACTTCATGTGTACAGTGCAATGTAAATGTTAAGGACATAGTGCCCTTAACTTTATGAGTATTGGTAAATATTAAGGACATAATGTCCTTAACTTCATGAATGCTGTGTAAATATTAAGGACAAATTGTCATGTATTTGCACCTTCCGTTGTTAAACTTTAGGACATCATGTTCTTAACTTCATGTGTACAGTGCAATGTAAATGTTAAGGACATGGCATCCTTAACTTCATGTGTGCAATATAAATATTAAAGACACCATGTCCTTAATATTTACACAGCACTCATGATAAAAAGGTAAAAATATTTTTTCATATTAATTTTAATAGAGTAATGGCTATTTTTGCTCAGCATTGAAAACACTGGATAAAAAATAAATACCATATTAAAAAGTAGCTATCTCGCACCATTTCTACATAATATTAATAGCATAATATAATATTGAGGAGATTTGAACATATAGGATCATTTAGTGCTACATTTTATATTTTGACCCCGTTAAGAAAAGTTTGAAAAAGATAATTCCGTCACCGGAACATTAAAGTATGATTTTTAGTTAAAGAGAGAGCTAACCGCTGCCAAAATACAGCAGTTTTTCTTATATACGATAGCACCCTCTGCCCTCGTTGTTCAAGTAGTTCAAGAGTGCGGCCAGAATTTTTAAGTACGCTACCAAAATTTTAAAGCAAACTACCAAAAGTTTGAAGCGCACTACCAGAATACGAAGCACATTGCTAGAAATTTGAAGCACAGTGCCAAACGTTTGAAGCACGCTGCCAGAATTATTAGTTCATCCAACATAATTTGTAAAAATAGCACGTGCTAGCCAGTTTTAAGACTGGTCATTCAAAAATAGTCAGCGTTTGCCAAGTCATTAAAAAATAGCTACAATTTTGCTGCAACAGAGACCGGTTCAGCATAATATACTGGAGTTCGGTGCACTTGTGTATGAACTTCGAATATATTATGTTGGAACTCCAACACGCAAAAAGTTCCAGCATAATATACTGGAGACTCGAGCACCTATGTATGAACTTCCAACATAATATATTGGACCGGTATACTTTGCTGGAACTCCAGTATAATATATTGGAGTTCCTGTATACTTTGCTGGAACTCCGGTATACTTATGCTGGAACTCCAGTATATATACTGGAGTTCCAGTATATTATGCTGGAGTATTTTCCGGATTTTGAACAGTGCTTTCATTCAGATTTATCTTTACATGAAAAGTAGCTAAATTTTGATTACTTTTGAAACTCTGGCTATTTTTGAATTTCTCCCACGTAATTTTGGTGTAATATTGAGCCACGTATTTAGGCCTGTCTCGTAGTCCATTAATTTTGGGCCTGTCTCGTAAAGACAGAAGTCCTATACACATGGAGACCCAAACCTTTGGGCTTAAAATCTATTTATCCGTTGGGCTTTCTAAAGTTGAAGAAGAAAGGACTTGTTTGTCAATAAAAGTTGGGAAAATGATAATGTACATCCGCTCTCAAAATAATAGCCAAAAAATATATTTTTTGTATCTATATATACATTCTATTTATTATATACAAGAATTATACAAATTTTATACTCCATTTGTTCCAGTAACAATTTAGTTTAAACTTACATTTCTACCCTTAGTGGGAAGCTTACAAATACTCTGCCCCCTTTTTGACTTGTTTAGGACCACAAATTCTAAAAGTCTTTTTTCTTAAACTTCGTGTCCAGTCAAACAGATTCACGTAAATTGGAACGAAGGGTGTATATTTTTTCGGCTACCGAATACGTTTCTGGCGCGGGCTGAAAGTGATATTACCTGACAGTTCGAGTTAAATATGAAAGATCCTAGGAGTATCTCGACTCTCCTAAATTTTATCTACAAAAGTTAACATTCCATATTTCTTGGAACACAAAAGCCTATACAATTACTACAATAGAAGAAGAAAGTAGCGAATATGTATAATAAAATATGATATATTCAAGAACTCTTCCTCCTTTTGTACCACGATGATTTCTTGAGGGACATAATTCATCTATATACAATAAAATTAAAAAAAAAATAATAATAAACACCATATGATATCGAGATGATTGTATAAATATTTTTACATCGCCAGTACCTATAACTTATAACCCTTTCTCAATTGGTCCAAAATCATCAAAACCAAAGGTTGGTGTCCTCTTGCCTTATGCATCCCTCTATCCAAAGAACTAGCCACACCAACGTAAATAATTCCTTGATACATTTATAGGTTTATCTGTTCCAAAAACAATAGGCGCTGAAACACACACACAAAAAAAAAAAACGGTTATTTTCATCGTACAATATAATATTAACGCCACAAAACTATCTTTTGTCACGTTAAAGTAACTTTATCGTTACTCATTGTAACAATAAAAAATGCAAATATAATAACTAAGAAATATAAAGGAAACTTTACCAAGGGTAGGCATCAAGAAAGAGAGAGCAGCAATTCCAACGACTTTCAAAGGGAATCCAGTTTGGATCATGTCTTTAACCTCAATATGGCCAGTAGTAAACCCTATAACATTCGAAGGCGTTGACGTGGGGAGCAAGAAAGCGAATTGTGCACCAATGGCGCCGGGGATCATAAGAAGAAGAGGATGAATATGCATAGTTTGAGCAATCTGGATGAGCAATGGAACCATAACTGTTGTGGTTGCATTATTTGATGTGATAAACTCAGTGAGAATTGCACTTATTAAACAAACTGATGGTGCAATGGCTAAGTATGGTGTTTTTGATAAGAAATCTAGGGATTTTGTTAGTATATCAGCAAGTCCACTTGACCTAATTCCATCAGCTATGGCAAAACCTGCTCCTAGTAGAAGGATTATGTTCCATGGCAATTTCTTGCATTTGTTCCAATCCATTAGCTTCTCTCCTG